GTGAAGAAACCAGTTTCTTGTCAAGAAACCAGTTTCTTGGCAAGAAATCTATTTTTTGCTCAAGAAACCTGTCTTTTGCTCAAAAACCCTGTTTTTTGAGATGAATGAAAATTGAAGTGGTGTGTAAAATTCCAAAAAATTTAAGATGACATGTCAACAGGCCGTGTCTTGCTCAAGAAACTCGTTTCTTGTGAAGAAACCAGTTTCTTGTCCGGTTAAAATATATTTTCAAACAGTTTTAGCATATTCAAGCAAAATGGATAAGATCCCAGTTTGTGATCAGCTTAGTAAAGCTAAAGTTAGTTCATTATTATTATTATTTTTTTTTGGGCTCCAGCCAAGAATTAATAACCTTAACCATACTTTACAATATATGTCAAATTGTATACAGAATCCTCAGTACAACAGAAATTAAAGGAGGAAATTTAAGTAAATAATGTTTCTCCTTGAGCGCTCGTTCATACACAGAGCTGGAGCCAAGGAAAAACAAATTTGCCGCCTGGTTAAACAAGATAACACCGTCCATAAAAGTAACCTGTAAAGCAACAAGCAGCATAACTCAAGCAACAATCAAATAGTTTCATTAGGACAACAACATTCGGGAATACCTACTTTCATCATGGACTGGCGAAAATCCTTCAATTCAACTTTTGGGTATTCCGAGTCAGTTAGCAGTGCTTTGCCAACCCTTCACATTTCGTTGTAGTAAGGTCTGTATATAAATAGACCGAGTAAGCGTTTAATTGAATAACAATACTAATCGAAAGAAATGGCACCACAAGAACTTTCTAGAAGCCAAAATTCTCTCAATTCCTTAAAAGATTGATATTTTACTTTTATTTCTGTAAATTTCGGAAGCACCAAACAATTTTCAGAATGCAGGCCTACAATAACCATCTTAGATCGTAGACAATTCTTAAGTGTTGTGGAAGAGGAAGACAATTCTTACATCAAAGTTCATGTGATCTCAATATAGAGATGGGGATAGTTGTTGGTCCCTAGGTCCCTACATCCCTAAAAGCCGTCACCTAAAATTGAAATTGTGTTAATGTCATCAGACACTTGCGAATGATTCTCTTTATCGAAGATTTACTACCATTATGAATCATAACCTCGTCATCAAGGAAGATTTATCGAATTTCGCAAAATTAGTTTAGTAGCTACATTTTCGATTCTTCTGATAAGTTAATCTTTCTTGAAACGACTCTTAAACACTCCAAAGCTCGTCTGTAAGGAGTCAGCAACCTCAAACATGATATTTATTGTCCTAAATTTCGAATTATGCAGATCCAACCCTCATTGGCAATCTATCTTCAAATTCAAAGAAAGAAATAAACCAAGATAACTCCTTTCAGCTTCACTCTTTTCATGGCATCCCACAACATTAACGAGCAACAAGGTAAAATATATTAATTTTTTTCTGAGAAAAAAGAACCTCTGCTCGTTCCTGGTACGGTTGTTGGAGCCATCACTTGATTCATTTACTGTTTGAGGATTAAGCGATTCATAGGGAATGCTAGGAACAAAATCTGCAACAACTAATCTGATACATCTCGCGTGTCCATTTACGGCCGCAAAGTGAAGAGTTGTCCTCCCACTGAGATAATCTGCTCGAACAACCTAAAAAGCACTCAACATGATCACCAAAAAGTAAATTCAGGATTTGTATGGTTCGTACACAAATTTGATCAGACAAAACAAAAGGGCTGAATTACACTAATCTGCCATGAACTTTAAACTTAACAGGAAAGACTCACATTGCATCTGAAAAGAAGAAGAGTTTGAACCACTTCCCAGTGCCCATATCGACATGCTTGCATCAATGCTGTCTGAAGAAGCAATTATACAATACTAGAGATTTGGATTTAACAGAGATCAATTATTCAAAGACAGACACATACACACACACATAGAATTCTGACATGATCTGATCATCACGGAAAGAACTACCGACAATCAGAATTGAAAAAAAAAAAACCACAGTTCAACACTTCAATTAAGTGTAAATCGCCATTAAAACCAAACAAGAAACCAAAAAAAGCCAATTACAGAACAAAAAGTTGCTAACTTTAACATTTTTGGGGCAACAAATGCAAGAACAGAACCCAGGAAACAGAAAAATCTACCTAAAATGGTGATTCCTCAGTCGCCCACAAGAATCAAACAATCATTTCCAATTGAAATCGGCACTCGAAAATAACACACAAAAAAACCCTAAAAATCGCCTAAATAACACACACAAAAAAATTACAAAAAGCACATTCAATCGCCTATATAGGGCCATTACCACTAACAGAAAGGGAACATAAATTGGTATTTTCTCATTGAATTAGAGTCTGCAAAACATCCTAAACATAAGCCCTTACACACTTTCCAAAAAAAAAATAGAGGGAATAAAGGTGATTCTGAGGTGCTACCGAAAATTTACGAACTTCCGCTAAAGAAATTTGTTAATATTTTGACAATACAAATCGACAATTTAAGTAAAAAAAACTCTAAAAATCGCAACACAAAAAAGAAAACAAAAATTTTCACCTTGTTTTGCCGGAGATACAAATCGCACCCGAAATCGCCAGATGTCCGCAAATGTTTTTAAAATTTTCGCACACGAAATCGGCAGAGATGACAAAAAAAATTGAAAGCAGCAAAGAGAGAGAAACTTCAGTCAAATTTTGAAAGAGGGAGACGAGCTGGGGCTAAAAAATTGAATAAGGTGAAAAAAATTGAAAAAGGTGAAAGAATTGAAAAAGTGAAAAAAGGGCAATTTGGTATTTTTGCTACCTAAAATGGTTATATTTCATTTTATTCAAAAAGATGGCTAGATTTCATCTTTTGTTTTGTTTAAGTGCTATAAAGCACCATTACCACAAAATATTATTTGTCTATAGAATAAGAAAAAAATAATATAATAGTAATGCAATGAGAAAAAGAAAACGTGTTAATTTTCTTATAAAAGTATGAATATCAATATTTACAAACAAAAAGTCTTTTAAAATTACTACTTTTTTGTTGCTAGCGTTTATATATATGGACTCTGTAAGAAATTGGTTCTCATAAATAATGATCATATATTATTTATTTTCAATTTTAAATAATTAAAGAATCCAAAAATTTGTATACATGATGTATATTTTAATCATGACTCCATAATAATAAACATTACAGATGACTAAAAGTATCGTCCTATAATGGAATTCTAATTCTTCTGCTGTCAAATATTTTAACAAATGATATGCTTCTCAATATTTTCTCATTGTTTTGTTTGTTTTGTTTTATCATTGCAAAAAATATATTATATTGTTCGTCTATATTCTTAATAAATAACACTAAAAATTAAATGTATGAGTATCAAAACAGTTTTGAATGTTAGAATGAAGTTGTCATTTCTTATAGAAATATTTAAAATCTCATTGGTGTATTGCGCTTGGACATATGTGCAATTACTTTAGAGGTACTTTCAACTAATGTATGGTGATTTCAAAAAATAATTTAGCACATCGGGAGAAGTACATGTAACCCAGATTTTGGAAAGTCAACTTTTATTTGGAGATAAAATTCATTCCCACCTCGTGGGGCGATGCATCAATAGGGTAGACACCAACATATCTAGAGACAGAGGAATGTAAAATTAACTAAGAGGAATTAGTAGTTTATACAGTGATAAAAAATATCAACAATTTTAGTGACACTGTTAGTTATTTCATAGAGATATTTATCCTTTGTTAGTAGAAGTACCTTGTTATAAAGATCATGCGATCATGAAATTTGACTATATGTTGGGCCAAAATGTTTCTTAAGTGTTTGAATA